TGGAGTCAAATTGTTAAATGTTGTCATTGTGTTACTTAAATTTGTAAACCGTGCCTTAAACTGCACAGTTAGACGTTCTTCTGTTCCTCCCCTACACATCTATGATGCTGGCGGAAGTGATTAGCTGTAGCTGTTTAACTGCAGGCACGTTCCATGTGTGGCGTTTTTATCTTCTGAGGAATGGTCACTCCTGGCCATTTGGGGGCTCGCCTATGCTTGCATATGGTGAACCATTAAAGTTGAGCCATATACTGGAGGAGGGGAGATGACCCTTCTGTGATCAGCAGGAAGTCACACACACATACACATTATTGCACAGGCATACACGTGCTTATACGTGCACGCACATACCCCCCATAGGGGGTTTTTACAATGGTGGTTGCTTGTGTGTACTGTAACTGTTTTCAATAAAAGGCGGCAAGCGGAGGCCTAAGCCGGGGTCCACTGTTGGATTCAGACGGCTTTCTGAGACACTGACCGGGGCGATAGATCGATCTCTGATTGTCTTTTTTCTTTCATTAACGAGAATACGTTTCTAAACTAGCGGGGCCTGTGGAAGCGCAGACCCAACAGCTGCCCTGGGGCAGACTGACAGAAGCGAGGCTGCCATATCGCGCCATCGGCCCCTCTGGCCATCACCAGTAGGCGGTAGGTGAAGTGTCTTGCCCAAGGACACAATGACCAGGACAGACAGACTTCTTAAACTGCTGGCTGTCTGAGTGGTGTCCCAGAAACGATGTGGGCTTCATAGATAATTGGCAAACCTTCTGGAGGAAACCTGGTCTTGTTAGGAGAGACGGCATCCATCCCACTTTGGATGGAGCTGCTCTCATTTCTAGAAACATGGACAAATTTATTAAACCCCCCAAAATATGATTATCCAGAGTTGGGACCAGGAAGCAGAGTTGCAGCCTTACACGCCTCTCTGCAGCTTCTCTCCTCCTGCTACCCCCCAAAAACCCATCTCCATAGAGACTGTGTCAGCTCCCAAACAGACAAAGAACAAACTAAAAACCAGCAACAAACAACTTAAACATAAACAATCACAAAGAAAGAACAATACAGTATCTACATCTGAACCAAAGAGTAACACAGTGAAATGTGGATTATTAAACATTAGGTTTATAACACAAAATGTAAATATTATTACAACAACCGGTTGCAGCAGATGGCCCCGCCCCTCCCTGAGCCTGGTTCTGCTGGAGGTTTCTTCCTGTTAAAAAGGAGTTTTTCCTTCCCACTGTCACCAAAGTGGTGCTCATAGGGGGGTTTAGGTCTACCTTGAGGCAAGTGTTGTGATTTGGTGCTGTATAAATAAAATTAAAATTGAATTCCCCTCAAACATGTTAAACCAAAAGTAATGAGCTGGTTTTGAAAACGTCAGGAGGAGGAAGTTCAGATATTTGTTTACAAACATAAGGAGTGAAAGTCAGAGATGCTGTCAGAAAAACAAAAAACTACTCAAGTGCAGATGTCTGAAAATTCTACTTAAGTACAGTAACAAAGTATTTGTACCTGGTTACTTCCCACCTCTGATGACAGCGCGAGCAGGGTGCTGTCCCTACCCCACAACCATGAACTGGATGTATGGATTAACTACTGAAACACTGACTTTGAATGAAGACGATCAATACAGACTTTTATTGTGACAGAAAAGCAGGAAGTCAGGCTCTCCTCTCTGCTCATGGTTTTGTCAGTTTGCAGGGTGGAAGGTGACAGTGAACTGCAGGATCTGAGGACCTGACGGAGGACGGGCTGATACCGATCGATCACACCCCCTCCCCGTGACCTCCATCATGCCGCAGCTTCAGCACTTCCCCTCAGCGATGACATTCACACCTCAGAGAGTGAATCACCGCCACCGTTGCTCCACCTGAGTGTTAATTAAACTTCTGCTCACAATAATCCTCCCACGTGACATCCCCAGCAAACCCTCCACTCTTACACTCCCCCTCCCCCCTGAAGGTGAGGCAGGCAGCGCTCGTCCGGTCAGTCGATACGAGCTGATGGAGCTTCAAGACGTCTCGATCAATAACTTTTGATGGCGGGGAGCAGGCCAGTGGAGGTGGGGGGAAAGACTGATGCTAACAATGCTAATGAGCCACACACTCACACAGAGTGCTGGGTGGAGCTGGGGATCGTGGGAAATGGCAGGTATTGATCAGTGAGTGTTCTCGCTCTGTCAGAGAGCTGTTGCCCAGGAGCCTCTGAGCAGCTACACATCTGCAGGATTTGAACCAGCAGCCTTCCCCTCGTGTCCTCGCCACATGTGACTTGAAGAACACTGAACATGCCCATCGCTGTACCCACGACACACCTGCTGTTTCCAGCTTCTGCAGTCAGAACAACACGTTGCTACACGTTGTGCTACTTTGTGGTCTTTAATATTGGTACTTTGTTGCTGTTCCAACAGGAACTGTAATGACATCATTTCCTCCGGGCTTGATAAAGGTTTCTGATTCTGATTAAGGTTAGGGCACGACCCCTCTCGTCCAAATACGGCGAGAGTATTTGGACGAGAGTGATGTCATGGCGACAGCGTTCATCTCTTACATACAGTCAGTGACAGCCAATCACTGATGTCACAGCAAGGTGGGGGGGCTCCAGTGGGAGGCGGGAGAGGCGGGGTCGTGTTACAGGAAACAGCAGAGCCCAGCAGGGACGCTGATGAATTATTGATCACCTTAATGGACAAGTTTTCATTTTTTCTGCATCACGTCACGTTTTGACTCTGTGAGGACGAGAGCTGCAGTCACCTGAGATTTCCCATGAGGTCTCAGTCACCAGGTCGCCAAGGAGACACGCCAGCTCTCCTCCCGGCCCACTGATAATGACGAGTCAGGACATTCAAAGTTACCTTTGCTCGGAGTCTGACAGGCCAGGCCTTAAAGATCAATCACATTTATAATCAATACGTCAGAGCAGACTTTCACACCATGAAGCCACGCCCATCAGCAGACACCATCACACACTGCAGCCAAGGAGCGCTCAAAGTGTATTCTAATCACAGGTGGAATAATAATCAATGAATGAAGCTGGCAGCAGGCGTGATGGTGGAAAACCATGAGGAGCTCTCAAATCTCACAAGAAAGCCAGAGGAGAACCCTGAAGGAGTTCTCCTCTACAAGGAGCTGTGAGAAAATCTTCCCAATCAAAGGCAAGCGAAGGAACGTCACTACTGGCTAAAATCTTCTGGTTCCTCGTGGTGTAAACTGGAGCTATCATCATGTAAGGGGACTTCTATACCAGCTTTGCTCTATTCCTCTTTACCCATAAAACCCTGTCTGTAAAAGTCTTGATGCATGCTCAATATCCAGGTAAGTAAATCTCCAAAAGTTGATTCTGTTCATCTGGACGTAGCATTTTGTGGGAGAAACGTTTCATCATCATCCAGGTGACGTTTTCAGTCTCAGCTGTCTGCAGGTTTCAATCTTCTAAACAGGACATTTGCACAAAGACTGAAACCAGCCCACTGAACATCCTCATCTTTCAATGATGAGGATGTTCACATCCTGGACAGGGAGGAGCACTGGTTTGAGGGCGGAGTCAAGAAGGCCATTTACATGAAAAGGGAAAGACCATCTCTGAATCGAGGAGGGGCCTAAGGGTACATCTGTCACCATCTTACAATGATGTGATTGCAGCCATTCCCCAACTCTCTGTGAGTGGGACTCATGGCCATTGATCAATGGTCATGAGAATTTGCATAATTAAGATTAAGGACCTCCCAGTCATTATGCAAATGTCCTGTTGATAAGATTGAAGACGTCACCTGATGATGACGAAACGTTTCTCCCACTGAAAACGTTCAGATGAACAGAATCAACCTTTGGAGACCTCTCTGTATGCTGATAATCTTCTTTGTTTTAGAGTGTGTTTTTGTTTTGTTGTTTTTCTCATATATAAGTATATTTACTTAGGAAAATGAAGAAAGGTTAATTGTATTTTGGTAAGTGCAAGTACTGTGTTGTTTTCTTTTTTTAATAAAAATATTTGCAAGAAAAAAAAAAGAGGACAAAGCTGCTGGAGTTTGTTTGCATCTCTCTCTCCACCCTGATCGTGCTCGGCATGTCTTCCTGTTTAGAGGTCGTTCTTCCTCCCCACTGTCACCGAGCACCGTTCACAGAAGGTATCTCTGGTACATGTGACCTCTCGTCCTTTCAGAGCGGTCTGACGCTGTGGGCGGACTCTGAACGCAGCATGGAGCCCAGCAACAGAGTTGAGGTCAGTGAACGCCTCAGGAGAAACATCCTGATCAATACCTCTGATCAGTCCGCACCCAGCTCAGCAGTCAGGCCCCTGCCGTGACGTCACACGATGCTTCCTGTCTGATTTCAATGTAAAACTCTGTACTGCGCTTCGGATCGTTTTCACTCCGTCCTAAAACATAAACCTGCTGATGCTGTTTCTATGGCAACGTTTCCGCGGCAAAGAGCGGTGTACCTGAAAGCCGCAGAAACGAGTCGATCAGGGAGGAGCTTCATGTGTTCATCATGCGTTCATGTGCGCTGAGCTGCAGGACAACAAAACCCGCAACTCTAAGCGTTTCCGGCTTGTACTTTCAAAATAAAGTTTTGGTGACAGTTTGACGTGAGTGATAGGCGTAAAGTGCAGGAGCAAATACAAGAATCGGCTGTTTTCATTCTGTTAAAACGAGCAAAATGAACTTTTGAAGGCAGAACGTTTAGCTCCTAAACCGCTGCACGCTGAAGCAGCATCACGGACAGATGAATCTTGTATTTTTATTTTTATTTTTATTCCTATTTATTCTATTTATCCCCTTCGTATATTTTATTTATATTGTCACTTTGAATATTTCTGCATGTTGCAGCAGCTGACCGTCTCAGACAAAGCTTTCCGCTGTTTAACATTTTAGCCTGGTTGTTGTTATTATTATTTTCAACATTTTCATCGTCATTATTATTATTGTCCTCCTCCTGCGGAGACAAACGTTTTATTCTGAAGGCGCTCTCCGGGGACTTCCGGTTCTGAGGGGGTTACCTGCCTCCACCTTGACGCATCTCTGACGGTCAGTCGGCATGACAACGCGCTCTCGAGGGCAAACGGGGAACGGCTGATCTGGAGGATGGCAGCAGAAGATGCCCAGTAACGGGAACAGCGGCGGGAATCGAGCGGACAGGGGCTCCGGGACCAGCCCGGTCCATGTCCCGGCCATGGAGCGAGCCCGACCGGCTACGGTGACGGTGTCCGCGGTGAGCCTCGCGCTCAGCGTGCTGTCGCTGCTGCTGCTCGTCACCGCCATCTCCACCGACCACTGGTACGAGACGGACACGCGCAGGCACAAGGAGAACTGCGACCGGCACGGCTCCGACTCCAACGACCAGAAGAACCGCGAGATGCCCATCTACCACCTACCGCTGGTGGACAGCGGGCCCCGGCACCGGGACGTGGCGCTCATGAAGCCCGTGCATGTGGGCAGCAGGGAGGAGGAGCTGCTGGAGAACTGGCGGGCCATCCTGGGGATGGGCATCCTGGAGACGGAGTGCGGCAGGCCGCTGTTCTCCACCCACTCCGGCCTGTGGAGGAAGTGCTACTTCAAGGGGCTGGACCCGGACATCGACAAGCTCATCGACCGGGGTCAGAAACACACACACACACACTGCAGAATAACGGTGCAGGTTAACACACGCTAACTCATCGACTGGGTTCAGACTGCAGAAACACACACATGTTCAGTGTGTGTGTTTATATACACGGCAGCGTGTGTGTGCAGGTTAATGCGTGACAGGAGCACATTGTTAGTGATTTCATGGAGCTGAACAGAAATACACACACACACTCACACACACACACACTCACACACACACACACACACACACACACACACTCTCACACACACACACACACACACACACACACACACACACACACACACACACACACACACACTCACACACACACACACTCACACACACACACACTCACACACACACACACACTGTATCTCAACGCAGACTCGCAGGTTCGTTGAAGTCTTTTAATCCTCATGGTTTCACCACACGCATGATCAATAATGACGTCATACATAAACATGGTTCTATCAGTTACCGATGGATGATTGAAGAAACGTAACCGTCCTGCTCCCTCTCTCACACACACACACACACACACACACACACACACACACACACACACGGATGATCCGGTGTTGTTTAACACTGGATGACATCACAGCAGGTAGTAGCATAAATCACATGGTCACCATTAGTGTGAGGCTACGCCCTCTTGAACCCCGCAGTAACTGTGAGGTTCAGAGAGAGGTGCATCGTGGGACTTGTAGGGCTGCGTTTTTGTGCTGACCCAAGAGGAGCTTGGACGCCGCCGGCCCGGTTTCTGCAGAGTGTGTGTCTGCAGTCTGGCTGGCTGCCGAGCTGAGAGCTGGAGGTCACAGCGATGGCGAGCGGCGAGGAGCTGGACCGCACATCAGATCAGAGCACTCCAAATTGCATCAGCCGACATTATGTTACATATCATTACACTGCATTAGGCTGGAGCTCAGATCCAATTAGATCGATTGATACCTGCGAGGAGGGCCAGCAAAAAGCAGCAGTACTTCCTGTTTATATGGCGTCGGCATCCGTTTGCTCTAACCAATTCAATTCAGCTTTATTTATAAAGCACCAAATCACAACTGTCACCTCAAAGCACTGCAGTCATGTCTGGATCGAGTTCATCTCGGCTCAGAGCTGGCACACATCACAGGGTCCACACGGATCTTAGTCCTGGGCCAGGCTAGTCCTTATCCTAGTGAGTTCTGGTTAGTCCCTGTTAGTCCTTATCGTGGTCAGTTTGGTTAGTTCTGGTCCTCGGCTGTCCTGCTCCTGGTTAGTGTTAGTCCTAGTTAGTCCTGGTTGGCCCAGTTGGAGGATGTTGTGCATGTTGTGTAGTTGTGGATGTACACACACCGATCATGTGACGCCATGCTGATGATGTCTGGCATGTATAGAAGTCCCGCCCTCATGTAACCTGAGAGGATGTTTAATGTGGGTTTGCTACGTTTTGTCAGCTTGGGTCTGGAATAGAGCTGGGCGATATGAGATTTTTTCATATCACGATATGTTTTTTTCATTTCAGGCGATAACGATATCTATCACGATATAAGCCAAATAACTATATTTGTAAGATTTAAATGTGCCGTTGCTCACAAGTAAAATGTGAAATAATCAGCAGCTTGTTTTTATTTAAATATTTATTTCCCATAATAAGTTCAACAGGGTAGATGTACTTAAGGAACATGAGACTTTTTCAGATAAATAAAGGCAAATATTGCAAACGACACAAAAGGCAGCCACTAAAGCGTTTAAGTTTCAAAATAGGGCAAATGAAACAGACTAAATTGTCAATTCCACTTAGAAACAAAATATTAATTCTAAAAATAAATCTTAGTTTGTTTTACAGAAGAACAGACAAAACTGACTAACTTTTGTCAATATCAAATAAACTGAGAACTAAAAGGAAATTCTCGATCTCTCCTTGTTGTATAGCTGAGCTTTTCAAACAGTTTTAACAGTTACTTTAGTCTGACAAAAGCCGAATGACGAATTAGCGCTTCCAGTCAGAGACCGAGGCTACGTCCACACGTACACGGGTGTTTTTGAAAACGGAGATTTTCCGTTTCCGTTTTAAAAAATAATCCCGTCCACACATAAAGGCAGAAATGAAGGAAAACGCTGCTATGAACATGCCAAAGCAGCAGGTGGCGCTAGATTCCTAACCGTGCAGAAATGTTGGCCAATCAGAAGTCTAGAAGCCTCGGTGGGAAAAAGTAAACAAAGCTGGGGCATAGAAGCAGAACCGAGTCGTATGTGTGGAGGGACAGTAACTGTGTGTATATGTAAGCATTTAAACACTGCAGAGAGTAGAATTAACAGTATTGTAGAAATTCATTTCACCGAAACAATAACGTGGCGCACAGTGTGACGCGTGCACCAGTTTATTGTATTTCCAGACTTGCTTTCGGCACAATTTACAGTGCACGCTACTCTGTTTTTTGTCAGACTTGAAATAGCCGAAATACCTTCACACTACGGAGCTTCTATGGCTCTTCCGTTCGACAATCTCTCCGGCATTGGAACCATCATCTGTTTTCTCTTCGGTCACGCTCGGTTGATTTTTCTAGTCGGCACACTCATTTCCTCCATTACCCGCTGGCTGCTTCCCAAACAAACACACGTGCGGCTTGGCACTTGTGCTGTACGTAACAGGTCACGCGACGTGACGCTGCGGCTGTGATTGGTTCGGCTCTGCGCTACTTAATTTGGATTGGCTGACCTTTTTTTTTTTTTTTTTTTTGAGGACAAGAGCGGCGAGGTCTATCGCGATAGCTTAATTTCTCTATCGAGTAAAAGTTATATCGCGATACATATCGTTATCGTTCTATCGCCCAGCTCTAGTCTGGAAACAGCAGGTGTGGTGATGCTATCAGCTCAGGTACATCAGTACGTGAATCTTAAAGGTGTCTCACCTGTGTGACTTTGCAGGCATTGCAGATCGCTGCACCGCCGTCAAGTATCACTTTTCTCAGCCAATCAGACTGAGGAACATCCCCTTGAACCTGACCAGGACCATCCAGCAGGACGAGTGGCACCTGCTGCGTGAGTACACACACACACACACACACACACACACACACACACACACACACACAGCAGTAATCACTAACAATGATTATATGACCACATCAGAGTCTTAGTCGCGTCTCCACACGGAGCGTCTGTGTGACAAGCTTCAGTCTGTGTGTGTGTCTGTATGTGTGTGTGTGTGTGTGTGTCTGTGTGTCTGTGTGTGTGTGTCTGTGTGTGTGTGTGTGTGTGTGTCTGTGTGTGTGTGTGTGTGTGTCTGTGTGTGTGTGTGTGTCTGTGTGTGTTCCCTCAGTGTGGCGTTCAGGGTCAGTCGGTGTTTCTCAGACTGTGGGTGTTTTCACACCTGTGCAGGTGACCCTAAGAGCAGTCAGCTGTGTGTGTTTCAGTCTCACAGAAGAAGAAGAAGAAGTGATCCTCCGCTTCCTGCCGGGCACATGCTTGCGACCTTGGACGCTGCGTCACACGACCGCTCAGCGAGGTTGCTATGATTGGACGCTCGGCTCTCTTTACACCAACGCTCTGTGTGCTTGGAGTTGCCTCAGCACCAATCACATCACAGGATTTTACCTCTGTGACATCACCGAGCGCGTCAGCGCCCTGTTCACTGCTCACGTCCCTGATTATAGATTATAGATCACTCTCCATCTTTGAACTCTTCCTGTAATTGGCTTGTGTTCTCGCCGCCAACCTCACTGCCAGTCACTGTTGCCACGGAAACACACCATCAGTTTTATGTAACAGTACCAAGGAGTGGTTACCACGGCAATGTTTTGTGTTCCTTCATTTCCTGCACTGATCACTGTGTGCGTGCGTGCGTGTGTGTGCGTCCACAGACCTGCGGCGCATCACGGCAGGCTTCCTGGGCATGGCGGCGGCCGTCCTGCTGTGCGGGAGCATTGTGGCGTCGGTGGGCTTCTTCTGGGAGGAGAGCCTGACGCAGCACGTCTCTGGGCTGCTCTTCCTCATGGCAGGTAACTCACCTGCTCTGTGCAGCAGCCCAGTGTCTCCCCCTGCTGGTCGCAGCTGAGGTTCACAGCGAGTACTGTCTTCATCTGACCATAGAAAGCGTCTTCAGGCAGCTGTGGTGATTTGGCACTTTATAAATAGAATTGTGCCGACAAAAAAAATCACCAGAGAGATTTGAGTGGGCTCGGCTATCAGAGCATCAACGTGAAATCATTTAGAAAGATTCAAGTAAAAGGTGATGTGTTTGTTTCCATGGCAGTGTACAGCGCCACACTGTAACGTTTCAGTGTGGTGTGCATACTCCTGCCATATAAACTTCTAAACCTACGAGTGCAGACTGGTAAACCTTATTAACCTGCCTGCCCTGAGTAATGACTCACATTTGCTTAGTGACGAAACCCAAGGATGTTTACAAAGACTGTAAATAAACAAAAGAAGGCTAGAGGTGGACGGTTTTGTTGAGGTGAGTTTTGACAAGGTTACTGATGGACTCCAGTGATGGAGTAAAGCTCAGGGTGCAGCAAGTCAGACTCGGGCATTTATAAATGAGAATGAGGATCATCAGGAATCCGTGGAGATGAGGGTGGGGGTGACGTGTCCCCAGAGCTCAGTGCATACTGGAGCCTCTCCAAACCCAAACAGGACCCACTGCAGTAATCCAGCCATGTGGTGAGCTGTGTTGGCCAAGTTACTTTGAAAAAATAATTAATTATAGTTACTAGTTACCAGAGATGGGCAGTAACGCGTTACTGTAATCTGATTACTTTTTTCAAGTAACGAGTAAAGTAAGGGATTACTATTGCAAAAACGGTAATTAGATTACCGTTACTTTCCCGTAGGAACGCTGCGTTACTGCGTTACTAAAACCGTGATTTTTTGCGAGAATGTCTCATGACAGTGACGTAAGCGAGTGCGACGTTAGTGACAACAGCTGTGTGCAGATCAACAGTGGATCACATATCGATTGTGGGAGAGAGTATGAGCGTGCAGCGTTTAAAGCGTGGAAGTACTGACCTTACTTTGAGTTTGATTCCATAAAAAGTGACAAAAACATTAGTGTCCGCTGTGCGTGGGAAGAAAACTTCTTTTTACAGCGAAAAAACCCCTAAACTTCCAACAAGCACCGAGTAGCTACGACGTAATGGGAAACTCACAGAGAAACTCGTGGATTCTTCCACTGACCGCGGCACACCTGCACCAGGGTAAACCTCCGCCTGCCCCACTCCTGCTTTACAGGTGAAAATAGAGCAACAGGACCGCTGAGTCTTTGACTTTATTTATTTTCTGCTGTGTTTTACTTGCATCTATTTGAAAGACTGAGTGTAAACACACAAAAAAATTATTTTATTTTATGTGCTGGAATGTGCAGAAAATAGGTTTAAATATTAAACTAATTTATTCAAGTCAGAGAATGTTGCAGATAATTAAATTTTTGCTTGATGCATAAAGTTAAAAGATTAAAACTAATAAAACAAGTTTTAAAAAGAGACTTTTCCATTTGATTACATTTTGTATGATGGATTATGTAGAAAAAGCAGAATTGGGCTGAAAGATCTATCGCTTTATCACCTCTTCAGGTTGTAAATCATGTTTTTAAAAAGTAACTAAGTAATTAATTACTTTTGAAAATAAGTAATCAGTAAAGTAACGGGATTACTTTTTTGGGGAAGTAATCAGTAATTAGTTACTGATTACTTTTTCAAGTAACTTGACCAACACTGCTAGTTACTTCTTTAAAAAAGTAACTGAGTTAGTAACTGAGTTACAAGATTCTAAAAGTAATTAATTACTTGAAAAGTAACTATTCTGTTACTTTAAAAAAATATTTAACCCTCTGGGGTCCAGGGTGTAATCAGCCATTTTAACCACTTTTGACGTCTAAAATCAGACACAAAAAACATCAAATTCGAGTAGAAAAGTTTTTTACTGTAACAACCACAAACATTTTCTTGAATCATATTTCATAACTTTAAATGCAAATAGAAATGGTCAATTTTAAAATCATATGCACAAGTTTGCAAACAAAGTTATTTGCTGCTATTTACCTTGATTTTTTAAATAACCATTTCAAACTATTTACAGAACAATCAGCTGTTCTTCAATAAGGTGCCACAAATTATTTGTGCCACTGCAAATATTTCTGTCCACTATAAAGGAAACATCACAGCCTGATGCCTGCAGGTCTGACAGCAGCAGGTGTATCACTCCTGTTTCTACCTGGAGACAGCAGCCGCCTCATTGTTCTGACACACAAAACTATCCACAACACTACACACTAACTACACAAGACAACACATTAACTACACACTCCAAACACGCTAAACGTCACAAATCTCTCAGATCTCAAAACTCGCTTTCTCTCTCTCTCTGTTGTGACAGTGATGTACAGTCTTGTTGGTATATGTATGATCTCTATACATTTTACATCAAATAAAAACTTTGGTTGTAAGATTCAGGTCATCATTTATTAAAAGTGAGACATTTTAAATGAGAATAAGTTTACCAGCTGTCAGCTACATAGAAAAGGATCCTGGTGTTATTTGTCTCTCAGAAACAGTTCATAACTTCAACTCATCCATGTCACCTAAAAGGTAAACCTGTTTCTCCATCACCTGTTCAGCTCTGATGATCCAGTAAGGACATCTCCTGGTTTCATCTTCATGTTTCCCTCTCACCACATATCCAAACCGACATCATGACCAGCAGCTTTACAGCTGTGGCTCCAGCAAACATCAGCTGATACTAGAAAGTAATATTAAATACATTCTAACAACAGCTGATCAAGCTTAAACGTGCTGCTGTTGTTTAGCACGACATCCGCTGGTTTCTTCTTTCTGGCGCAAAGTGAGCGATAAACAAACAAGAGAGAAAAGCCGATCAGCTGATCATTGATCAGTTTCATGATTGAAGTAGCAACAGGAGAGAGAGGGGAGAGACTGAGAAAAGAAGAGGCAGCTGTGCAGCAAACACAGAATAACTCCAGCTTTGTGTCTTTTTCATTGTAGCTGAAGTCCGGCACAAACTGTGTTTCTTTTCAGCTCAATACCAAACGCGTAATATTTTCTCTGAATGCGAGACGATTCCGTTTGTACGGGACGGTTGGAAACTCTAATAACTAACATTATGAATAAAATAAAGTTCACTATCAGTAACATCAAAGCTCCCACCCAGCTGTATAAACACTCCGTCATGCTAGCTAGTACGCAGTACGAGTTATTGTAACTGACTGTAAAAAGTCAGCATAACTAAAATAAACTAAACTTGGTTTATATCTGACCCAGATTGACTGCAGGTCATAACTTCTTACCTGAAGGTTTAATCAGGTTGATCAGTGGTTGTTGATCAATAGTCATGAGAATTTGCATAATTAAGATTAAGGAACTGACCTCCCAGCCCATTGTTCCTTGAGTGGCTGGTTTCAGTCATTATGCAAATGTAAGCTTGGGGAAACCTGCAGTCAGCTGAGACTGAAGAAGTCACCAGGATGATGATGAAACGTTTCTCCCACAAAATGCTGGTCTACGTCCATGTTCTAATTGACAAGTGACTGTGGGGGGAGCAGGGTGGAGGGTTTGTATCATCAGCATAGAAAAGCAAGCAGAGACCTGGAGGCAGATGATCTGACCAAGGAGGGGCGAATAGGTGGTGCAGTAAAGGGGTCCGAGCACAGGACCCTGGGGCACACCGTGGTTACCTGGAGCTGAGGTGGAGCCGGAGTCTGCCACGGTAATGAACTGTGTTCTGTTGGGGACCGGGAGAGTGCGGTACCAGTGACGCCAAGATAGTTGGTGAGGGGTGGCGTTGTTTTAATTCGGAGTAAGCTGTTAAAAGAAGGACAGCACGTTTCTACATCAGGGAATAAAGTTAGTGAAAGATTCATTTGCAGATGTGGTGACAGCTCTCCAGTGAGACATTAAAGTTGAATAAAACAAGCTCAGAAACAAGTGAAACACTGAAATAAATAACACTGAATAACGGCTTACCTTTACCCGAAAGTGAACAGACTCACCTTAACAGGGATGTTTCTCACGGTATCTCCTGTTTCTAATACTGAGGCACTGACACTGAGGAAGGCTCCCTCTCTGCTCTTTGAGCCGTTTCCGGGCCCAAAGTCAAACGATCACTGCAGCATCACTGAGAGTTAAAAACTGTCTAAATTCTTTCATCTTTAATAAAATGATCAGCGTTGCTGCTTTACCAGGTGTAACAATTAGGTTTAACATCCATGAAAACAGAATTTATGAAATTTAACAGAGTTAGAAGTTAGCAGGAAGTTAGCTCGCTAGCTTCCACCTCAACATGATATAGCATGTTCTGACTGAGAGATTTCTGAAACAGATTCAAACGTACAGCTCTGCTATCACTTCCAACATAAATGAAGACAGAAAACTAAACAGCAGTGACGTTTGTAGGGTTACTGAAGTTTGGCTAGCTGCTATATAATGATGTGCTACGTGATTGCTAGCAACACAGCTATGTTAGCATAACATAACGTTAACTTTTATCGAGTGGAAAAAAGTTAACGTGAGGGTTCCCGATGGTTAGGGACAAATGCAATCACATGGCAGGATGCTGTGAAACAGCGGTCCCCAACCCTTTCTGTGCCACAGACGGTTTAATGTCCGACACTATTTTCATGGACCGGCCTTTAAGGTGTGGCGGGTAAATACAACAAAATAAAATGAAACGACAAAGACACAAACTGTGGTATTTTGTAAGAATAACAATAAACGTGAATTCACTGTGTAATTGTTTAACTTTATTAGCTGCGCCCTCCTGAAATGTGCCAACAACCTTGAGAGTAACATCCACCTCTCTTTATGCTCTCTGTTTGCTTTGGTAACATGTACATATTTCTTTCAAAATAAGACACACGACTACAACACGGGAAAAGACCCAGGGAAACCAAATTAACGATAGCAACCCTGAAAACCATAAATTTCACACCCGAGCCTCAACTCTCGCGCCCCAGTACCAAACGGGGCCTGGGGGTTGGGGACCACTGCTGTAAACGGACCAAACTTCAGGCAGGAGAACAACTGAGATAATCCATCCACAATGTGAGGTTAATATACTGCTGCATGTGCTGGGCTGTAGTTACATCGGAAGGTTTTTATTACTGTGCTTTAAAATGAACAATTCAATTCAATTTTATTTATATAGCACCAAATCACAACATAAGTCGCCTCAAGGCGCTTCATAGATACAGAGAAAAACCCAACAATCATATGACCCCCTATGAGAAAGCACTTTGGCAACAGTGGGAAGGAAAAACTCCCACAGAGGTTAATAACAGATATGATTCAATGCAGAGAGGTGTGTTAATACATAGTGAGTGAGAAAGGTGACTGGAAAGGAAAAACTCAATGCATCATGGGAATCCCCGGCAGCCTACGTCTATTGCAGCATAACTAAGGGAGGATTCAGGGTCACCTGGTCCAGCCCTAACTATATGCTTTAGCAAAAAGGAAAGTTTGAAGCCTGATCTTGAAAGTAGAGATAGTGTCTGTCTCCTGAATCCAAACTGGAAGCTGGTTCCACAGAAGAGGGGCCTGAAAACTGAAGGCTCTGCCTCCCATTCTACTTTTAAATACTCTAGGAACAACAAGTAGGCCTGCAGAGCGAGAGCGAAGTGCTCTAATAGGGTGATATGCTACTACAAGGTCATTAAGATAAGATGGGGCCTGATTATTTAAGACCTTGTATGTGAGAATTCTGGATTTAACAGGAAGCCAAAACAGGAGAAATCTGCTCTCTCTTTCTAGTCCCTGTCAGGACTCTTGCTGCAGCATTTTGGATCAGCTGAAGGCTTTTCAGTGAGTTTTTTGGACATCCTGATAACAATGAATTACAGTGGTGATAAAAACAGAGAGAGGCCGACAGGGATGTTTTTAGGGGTTTATTGAGATTAAATAGAACAAGATACAAAACATGTTAAAAACACAACAGCCTTAGTAAACACAGACTAGTTCGGACCTGGAGGCAGGATTCATACGTCATCACTTATAGACCAGGTTGTGTTGACAGTCAGAGGGTTCATATTTTACCTGTTGGTAATGCACCTGCAGGTCTCAGCCAATTACAGCCAGCACAGGTTCAGGTGTCAGTCTGATCTGGTCTCTGATTCGTTCTCAGGGATCTTCTGCACCATCTCCCTGTGCACGTATGCAGCCAGCGTGACCTACGACCTCTCCAGAAACCCGCCCTTCATCTACGGCCTGCCGGCTGACGTGGATCACGGTTATGGCTGGTCCATCTGCTGCGCCTGGGCCAGTCTGGGTCTCACTGTAGCGTCTGGCTGCCTCGGCACCACCTTCCCCTTCCTGAGCCGGGCCGGAGCACTGCGGTCCAAAACCGCCCATGAGTCCTCCGTCTGAGGCGAGGAAGAGGATGATTCTCGGACGACAAAAGGTGTATTTTTGGCCGGTTCCGTAATAGGAGGGGCCTCGGACTGCAGACGGAGCTGCGCACCTGTTCGTGCTCCTGATTTGGACCCAGCTCAGGTCACCTCAGCGTGCACTCTGAGCCTCGCCTGGTTCCTGTGATCCATCTCTGCAGCGGTGTGGCCAAAGGTACCATCAGTGATCAAGTTAATAAAAGATAAATTAGCTGTTGGTCAATCAGGTGAGTCATCTGTACTTACCTGACATCAAACATGTAAAGCCCAGTTGAGAGTCAGACAGGTGGCCAGGTCTCAGCAGCCGTCTGTCAGTCAGCTCTGACTCACCGTTTTCTTTCTGCTGTCCCATCGTCCAATCAGAAGCTTCATCGGTGTGAAGGTCACCTGAACTGAGGCAGGTCACAAAGCTGCTGCAGCTGGGTCCCCATCAGGAGCAATAACAGGAAACACACACACACACACACACACAGGTGTGCGCTGGGATCCAAACCTGCTGCAGGTGTGATCTTCATGGAGCCTTCCCATGCGGATGTTTCGGAGCGCTGTGCTCCGATCAGTCAGTTGGGCGGAGCTTCAGGTGCACGCAAGCGCTCTGAGCTCAGGTGAGTGTTATCCAGTCATGCGGGGTTCACACGTTGCTTAGGCATTTGATGTTCGGGTGTGGCCTTCTTAGTGATGACAGCCAATTACAGACAAGCAAAGCTGATTGTTCTTGTTCAGCTTGGATCCACAAGCCAGTTCAAAACGTGATAGGTGTGAATCCCGCCTGATGGATCAGAGTCTGAGCTGCAGAGCGTCACGTGACCAGGTGGCGTGCTGCAGGTTTGGATGGCGGCGGCCGCTCACAGATGTGTATATAAATGTGCTTTCAGCTGCGAGCTGAGCCACAGACTGAACCCTTTACTCTGCGACGCTGAGCAGGTGCTGCTCGCTGACTTCAGGCTTCCCGCAGGAGGGAACGCACTGACAGATGATCCAGGTATCAGTGCTGCCGCTCTGTTATCAAACAAAGGAGTTGACCTTTAATCTCTGACACCGACTCCTCTGTAAACAGGGTATGACACCATTTATGTTTAAGCTTTTTCAGGTATCAGCCTCTGAGACTCTGCATCAGCCTATCGGAAGCCCCGATGCCTTCTCGTGACCCCCCTGTACGAGCAGAATCGGACGTTTGAAGTTCAGGTTCTGAGCTTTCAAAAACATCTGGAATTACAAACATTCATCCACCAGCTGCAGACACCAAACTGAGAATGTCCACAGCATCCTTCCCATCATCAGGAGGAGGGCTGATGATCAGCGTGAGGAGGAGTATCAGGGGGACGGACCCATCGAGGTCTTTAGGCTCCTGAGGGAGAATGACGGTGGATGAAATGTTTGTGTGCGGCTCAAAGTCAGAACTTTATTTAATTTCAAGCCGACACGCAGAGTGAAACGGTGACTCACCATCACTATCGACCTTTAACCTGTAGATTCCACACTGAAAGCTCCCATGTTCCTCCTGATACCCCATCATAGCTCCACTGTCCCCTCATGGAACCTTTGCTGCCCCCTGCTGGACACAGCTGTAAATACATGGTGTAAACATGATGGGACTCGTCACCTGTAGCTGCTCCTGTGGAAGATCTGTCAGCATTTGTTGGATGTATTTATATCTGAGAATTAAATATTTGTTAAATGTGTGTGAGGCGTGTTATTGTGGTTCTGATAACATCACATAATGAAGAGGCGCAGGCTTCACTGAGCACATCAGGGCAGCACAACTCACGTGGACTGGATCCAGTTACCAGGTGAGTTAGAAGGTACCCGGTGGAGACAGTCACATGTGCTGCTGCTCAGAAAAGTCTGTCATTCACCTGTAACATGAACCGTGTGACCCGGGTAGTTGGAAGAGCTGATGTTCTCACGTGTACAGGTTTCTTATTTTCTAAAAGGTACCTGACCCAGCCTGGCCCTGAGCGAATCTAAATGTTTGTCACTGAAGAACATTTCAATAAAGTTTCTTCCAGCACCATCAGATGCTATGAAGCAGTTCAGCACAACTCGGAGGGAAACGGTGACTTGTGACCATGAAGAAGAACCACTGAAACCCAGAAACAGGAGCTCAAACCATGAGGGAGACGTATGTCTGTGAAGGTTCTCAGTCATCCAGGTCATTGCAGTCGAAGGAGCTTGGAAAGAAAAGCGTCTGGACTTCTTTAAGTTGCTTGAAGACGTTTCACCTCCATTCATCGGCGAGACCAAACAGCCACTTCACAAGCGCATGGCACAACATAGAAGAGCCACCTCCACGGGACAAGACTCAGCAGTCCATCTGCATCTAAAGGTCAAAGGTCACTCTTTCAAGGATGCCAATGTTCACATTTTGGACAGAGAGGACAGATGTTTTGAAAGAGGAGTGAAAGAAGCCATCTATGTCCACTGTGAGTGACCATCTTTGAACAGAGGCGGGGCTTACGACACCAACTCTCTGCCATCTATAATCCAGTTTTGAGATCCTTCCCAGACGCCTTAACGCCCACTCACATCCTGGACCATCTGACCTCAGGAAATCACACGATAGGTTTCACAATGAGCTCCCCCAAAACCCTGGCTGATTGGGACCCACACCCGTTTTTATACCTTGGCTCATGTGATTAGAGGATCATCAGGGGTCCTTTTGTCCCTCTGTGGGGGGAAACTCCCACTGGGTTTAAATCTGGGACTCTCCACCATTTGACCTTAGAACAGAAGAAGCTTCTCGGCTGAGAGGTGAAACGTCTTCAAGCAACTTAAAGAAGTCCAGACGCTTTTCTTTCCAAGCTCCGTCGAACATGAAGGTGACAAAACTAAAGAATCAGGAAACTGGAGAGAGGTCTGAGAGCTCTGAGTCTGCCCAGAACGCTTATAAGAACAAGGTGCGCCATCACAGAGATGTTAACATTGTTTAAATATGCAGGGACTCGGCTGCTTATTATCACAATGACAAAGAGACTGTGCTTAGAGTGACCATCTTCAGTTTATGTTGAAAACTTCATTAAAAGTTCCCTAAAATCTTCAGCAGCCTCTCAGAAAACATGAGAGCCTTTATTTCCACTCAGCTCTTTGGGGGTCAGCACAGTCCCTGTTCCGTCCTCTTCTGGCTTCACTGGGGTGGCTGTGGCTCAGGTGGTAGAGCAGGTCACCTGCTAATCTGGAAGGTGGGTGGGTATCAGATGTCAGGTATCCTTGGATGAGATACTGACCTGAAGTCACTCAAATGAATGTGTGCGAATGTCAGATAGAAAGAGCACAGAAAAAAGTGCTTGTGTGAAGAATGAGGCAAGCTGTGTGAAGTGCTTTGAGTGCTCAGACTAGAAAAGCACCATATAAGAACCAGTCCATTTACTGTTCCAGTGAGAGCAGCCTTAAGCTCAAAGCTATTTTGAAAACCCACCACTCCTTTACAGCTGCCTGTGGACGCCAAAGGGTTAAAATATCCCCATTTATTGTCTAAATCCAGCCATCCAGTCAGATCATGGTAGCAGTAGGTTAAACAGCTATTCCAGAAACCAAGGTGTTGCCGGGTTAGATAATATATAATCTCTCCATCAGGTTATGGGTGCAGCTCAGTGCTGCCGGTGAAACAGAGAGATCTTTGGATCTGTGGAAAATATTAGTGTGTATCAGGAAGTCAGAACAGTCATTGCTGTAAATGATCCTGAGGTCCTGATTCATCTTCCAGTTGGTCGACATTTCTGTTTCCACGGGGCTGATGGTTGTGTGAGTCTTTGTGCAGCAGGGGCTAGCTCGTTTTATGTCTGATACACACATATCTAAAAATGATTTTTAAGATTAGATAACATAGATTAGTCCCACATGTGGGAAATGTGTTTGTTACAGCAGTGGACAGTGCAAAGTTGCATAGAAAAATTAGAAAAAAAACACTGGAATAATATATCTATGAGATACTGTACACAATAGAATAAAATAAAAATAAAATACTCTATACAATCGAATAAAATAGAATACAAATGCTATATACAACTGAGTATAATACAATGATGCCAAAAAGAGTATTGCACATAGTGTTATTGCACATGTGTGGATGTGTTTGATCAAGTCTTTGTTGTGGAGTCTGACAGCAGTGGGGAGGAAAGACCTGTGGGACCGAGAGATTTTCTTTTGTACATTAAGATTTTGTGTACTTTTTGATATTTTGGTGTTATTTTTTGTTTTGTATTTATTTATTCTTTGATAAATTTTGAATATTTTTGTTTCATATTTCATTTTTTTTGTTGAATTTGGAATCTTGTTAGTTATAGGGCTTTGGAGCGTGATGTCACGGGGGGTGGGCGTGGAAAGGATTTTGGCCCGATCCGCCATTTTGGGGGTCTAGCGCAAGTGAAAAGGGAGCGAAGTCACACACAACAGCCACGGTTCGTATTTGCTGTGTGGTCGGCTGCAATGTTCGATCACACGACCGGCAAGAGAATAAGGTTGAAAATGGTTTATCTTTTAATTCTTTCCCAACCTGGAAGCAACATGAGCAGCTCGTGTATCGATGTTACCAAACAAAGGCGTCCAGCCTGGAGAGCAGCTGTGAGACGAGCTGACGTGCAGTTCTCTTCCATCTCCAAATATCTGTTGGTGCTCCAGACATTTTCATTCCGGTAAGTTCTAAATATGTTCATATCTTTATAGCCTATTAGTTTTATTTTCGATGCGCTCTGAGCTCATAGCAAATTAGAACAAACATCCTACTGAGTGATTTTGCAGAACTACCTTCTATTTATAGAGTTGCTAATTATTTGGCATTATTGCAGCAAACCAGCCGATGAAATGGATGAAACATCGTGACTGGGTTCCAGCGCTACACGAGGGACCTGCTGCAAACATACCACCATGCCAATCAGATTACTTCTTCCATGTGAGGGTGAAGAGGTGACCCTCCTGGATAAGATGGTGAAGGTTTGCTGCGTTTGGTGAACAGTGTGATAATAAAACCAGGGAAGAATTAAACCTGCTCCTGTTAAATATTCTTAAGTCTTGTGCTGTTAAAATCGCTGTATTTTTTCAAAAGACACAGTAAATAAAGTTAGTAGTGGGTGATGTCATGTAAACACTCATGATTTTGTGTAAACATTTTGTCATTTGTAAACTATAAATGACATCATCATTGCAACTGATGTGATGTTCTATAAAGTGGTTTTAATAAAAAAAAAAAAGAGGCAAAAATTAGTTTGTTTCTTTATTCAACTTTTGAACAGTGGGACTCAGTCAGTATATATTCAGTAAATGCAAATTATTTACACGGCAGTGCACTACAGGCATAAATCTAGACCCCTAGATAAAACATTATGGGTCATTCCCACAACCCACAGCTTTACTGTGTTCCAGCAAAGTATCCAATAGCAGTGACGACTCCTCCACAGTAGCAGGTGGGGTTTTTCTTTTTTGAGGACGGCTCCTTTTCCCCGTCACTACAGATGGTCTGTTTAGGTTTTGATCAAGAGCCTTTTTTTTGGGCAGCTGAAGAGGAGAAGTCTATCTTATGGCCAACCTCTGGCTGTATCTTGGTCACATTACCCAGCAAAACCCAGAATGCAGGTTCATCTGTAACAGTCCTTGTGCCACGGATCAACACTGTTGCTTCTACATTAAACAGAAGAGCAGCGACATGGCTGCAGGTCTCTGCGACTCCGGCCATACAGGTGCAGTGGGCGGCTTCAACCTTCCCTGTGATGCTCACGGTGACCCATCGCTGCAATGCTGGTTCATTCAGTCTTTGAGAGTGCAGGACCTGAAACACACACAGACAAAGTTCATTTAAAGACAAGAACTATGAGCCAAGGCTGACGTAAATGTGTTTTATCTACTTTATCATAAATGTAACAAAGTGTTTAGAAAGTTAGCACATACATGTCATTTTTCATTTCTTTATGTGTCCATCTATAGAACGCTGCATGTTATAGTGTAAATCTGCCTGCAGAAAATGAACCTAAAGTATGTACCGGTAATGCAAGGATGTCATCACTGTAGAGATGGAGAAAGCATAAAGTGACAATTATGAATCACTTAATATGATAAGGAGATTCTGCAGGTCATTGATCAATATATAAAATTAAAATAAATTGTATTTTTAGTTACACAAGATACAAACATGGAAGCAAGATGTTTAATTAGGATTATTTATAATAAATATGAATAAATCATTGCAATTTCTTTAACCATAAAGAATAACAATCCTTCAGGACAATGTCACATCAATGCACTGAACTCACTATGTTATCCCTCTGACAGCCTCCACATGTTCTCACTGTAATTTCCCCTCATGAATGAATTTATGCTGCACTAATCTGAATGTTTGCAGGGAAATCAAACGCATTTCACTCGCAGTACTCGAGCTGACTTACCTTTGCTTGAATGACGACTTGTAGGCGCTGACTCCACAGACAAGGTACGAAAATATGTCAGGCTACGTCAGTAGCGGTTGGTCTTCAGGGTTTCTACTCCACGGCCGTATTTCATACGGGTCCACATTTCCAATGCACGCTATTTTCTGCAAGTACCGCTGCTTCGCCTCTGGATGAAATCGGTCTCTATACAGTTCATTCTCTTTTGAGCTGCTTTTAAGCATCTTTCTTGTAGTCGTTGTTCCAACACAGTGTGGTTTGGTTTGATTCGTAGACCCCGAAAATGGCGCTGCGCTCCCATAATGCAT